AAATTATATTACTGACCTTATGTAGAAAACATCTACACAAATTACAACTGTTTATTGAATGTGTATTGTATGCAATATTTTTATATCAGGTTTTTCATACACTATTTCATTTATTCTGCACAGTAATTTTATAAAGTAGGAATTTTAACCCATTTTAAAAATGAGTAAAGAATCTTGTCTAAGTCTACCCAACTAATAAATGATAAGCCAAGATTCAAACCCAGGGCTGCCAGATTCCAAACCCAAACATTTTACAACTAACTATACAATTATTTAAATAAACAGATAAAAATCATGTGTAAGAAGACAAGAGACTCTCTGGTTTCTGATTCTTCAGTTCAATTTGCAGACAGACAATCTAAAACTGCCTTCATTACTACTTCCTTCATTGGGCCCTACCCACTACCTAGGAAGGGTGTATTTTCTCTGAGCCAGCTTTTATCCATCCCTCATAGCTCAATTTAATTATTTTCTCAGAAAGAGCTATTTTGACCATTTAACCTAAATTAGGCCTTTATCCATGCTTCTTATCCTTTGGGGCTCTTTTCAAAATCTCTGTGTTGATTTGTTTAAAGTTCCATTAGGGTAGGGACCATGTGTGGTGTGTTCATCAATCTACACCCTGCTCCTAGTCCTGCAGACCCAGGATTAGCATTGCAAAAAAGAAGTGCTCTTTTGCTGAATGCATGCATGGTATGAAAGAAATTAAACCACAGTCAGGATTTCCTACATAATCTGGTCCTACTGTATCTTTTCAGTTACATTTGCTATCTGGGGTTAGTTTACTGTTCCCTGTGGAGGTCTTTGGCTCCCTATCTGAGATAAATCTTACCTAGTTTTCAAAGTTCAGCTCAAAACCCACCTATGCTAAGAGCCTTGGCCAAGACATTCCATTCCCAGTCTCCCTTCTAAGACTCACATAACATTAGCTCACCAGACTGCTAGTCCAGCCTTTATCATAAACCACTTTGCAGGGTTAATTTACTGTTCTTGCAGGAAGGTCTTAGGTCACCACCTACACCTGTACTGTGTAATACAGTAGTCAGTAGGAATATGTGACCATGATGTATAAATAAATTAAGATTCAATAAAATTTAAAATTCAGTTCCTCATTTGCATTAGCCGCATTTTAAGCACTCAATAGCTACATGTGGCTCATAGCTATCATATTAGACAGAACAGGTATAGAACGTTTCTATCATCATAGATATTTCTGTGAGTGTCTTGAGTATAACTGTGTTTTATATTCCTTCCTTTTCTACACTGTGAAGATGGTACCTACAGTACCTCGTAAACAGTGAGAGTTCAATAAATATTTAAAAGTAATAAAAAATAACCTGCTGGAGACCTTTGACATGACCCTAATTCCATTGTTAACAATAGTCTTCCACTGTAGCATAGGCTCTATCCATTAATTTACTGTCAGTCCCTGGGTCAAGCCTTCAGTTGTTTTTCCAATAGTAGTCTCTAAGAGTCAACCACAAAAACAACATTCCTATGGTATTTTTCAGTTCATGAAGTGTTCCATATTCACCATTCATATATTTTTTAAGGAGCACAGGGATTCAGGTTAAGCCTAATATTTATCCAGTGGCAACTAAGTGTTACCAGATATTGTGTAAGGTAATTTTTCTGCGTTCTCATCAGCCTCACTAGATCAAGAGGAAACTGAGGCTCAGAGAAGGTAACCTATCTACACCTACCACTAACAAAATCCACATATCAACCACTGTATCTTTCACTGTATCTTTGACTCCTCCTGGCTAGAGATCTCTACAAAATCAATGGAGTTGATGTTGACTAATAAAATTGCAATCTATCTTGTGTTTGGAGAAAAAGAAAAACAAAAAGTAAAGAATGAAAACCTTTCTTTTTTAATACTGAAAACTGTAATTAGGTACTAACTTCCAAGGTAAACAATGCTCCCTCTCCCCCCTTTAACTAGAAATACAGCCTATTTGGGGGGGAGGGGCTAGATTGGGGAAAGAAGTATAGACAATTTTGAAAAGTCCAAATTAGAAGACATTTTAAAGGATGTATAGTAATATCATTGAAGGTATTATTATTGCAGGAAATATGTACTAAAATATAGCTGAAGACTATTATTGAACAATGGGTTAAGCTACTTAATTTTTCAGCCCTATATTATATATCATTATTTCAAACGCCCATCTTATTTCATACTTTTAAATCCTGAATGACCCAAATGCTTAAGCGTAAATTAAGCATTGAGTACATTCATGAGATTTCACCATAAGAATATGATTAAAGAAGATATTAAAATCCTTTGTAAGTTCCAATAAATGTGATCCAGGAGAATTGGGATGTGTTCCAAACAGCACTGTGTCAACCTGCCAATGAACACTCAATCTGTTTCTTCAAGTATAAAATACCGATGCTTTTCTAATCTACCTCAACGGCAAGAAACTAAGATGATTACTGTACTTATTAGATTAGACTTCTTGCTAACCTGTTATAATCTCTTCAAAAAAAAGAGATTCTTTCCAATGAGGAGGAAACAGGCCATTCGTTTGTCTGTTTTTTTTTTTTTTTGATGTCTCTCATTTGCCCTAAAGCTCTATTTCTGAAAAAGGGACAGAAAGACTGATATACAAGGCATCAAAGCATTCTTCACAAGGCCCAGTCCCCACTATGGTTACTGCCAAGAAATCATTCCAAACGCTCATTCGCTCATTCTCAAAGTGTCGGCAGTCACAAGGGGAAAGGAAGTGGACACTGCCAGAGGCGGCCGGTGCGTTTGGAGGCCAGCAGTGCTTTGTTTTTAATGAGGCACAGATGCAGGTCTCCAACTGTGTGCCACCAGAGAGCAAGGCATCCGAGGGCTTCTCAACTCTTTTATAAGCATCGCCCGGAAGGAAGAGAAGGCTTCACGTTGATGTAGGTTTGGCACCTCTTTTAGGCAGAGAGGCTTAAGGGCTTAGACCACTTAAAAAAAGTAACTCGTATGTTCTAAAGAATAACATATTACACAGAAGAGATAAAGATAACACAACACTGGATTCTATGTTTCTTTTGTGGGCGAGGGATGGGAGAAGAGCTCCACTCCTGCTTCTCCCTCTTTTGTACAATGTAGCTCTCTCTCTCTCTCTCTCTCTCTCTCTCTCTCTCTCTCTCTATCTCTCTCTCTCTCTCTCTACACAGCTTCCTTTTCGCTTGCTACATACAAGCACAAGTGCCAGAAAGAAAATCGTTTCTCCTATCTCCCAAGTGAAACGGAAAGGAAGCAGGGAAGACACAGCGTGGCAGTGCTGTGTGTGCTACTTAAATAGGGCACCAGGGTCTGGATTTTAAAAAATAATAATAAACTGGTTCATGTGCTTGCTCCCTGTTACGACGGCTCAGCTAATGCTAAAAGATGTCGAGGTTTCATCTACTTTCCGTTCGACTCCTCCTGTGCCGACGGACGCTCAACTCTCGGGTATGCTCGGTTCACCTTCAAAACAGAATGTTTCGTCGGAGTCCCTGTGCAACCTTGGGAAGCAGCCTCCAACTCCCTCTGGTTAGAAAGCTGAGAGGGGTCCGGGCCCGCTGAGGACCAGCTGATCGGTGACCCCTCCGACCAGCGGCCGGGATGCGCCTGAGCGGAGTTGTGTGGACGCAGCACAGAGACTCGCATCGCTTGTGCGCCCGGGTCCCCTTCCCGATCAGACGGGGGAGGCGGGCGCCCGGAGGACGTCTTTCCAGGTCCCCGAACTCCTGGGAAAGGACGGGGGCCGGGGGAGCCGCAGAGCGACACAAACTCGCTCCCCGTGCTTTTCCGAGCTCACTGCG